AAGTAGGAAAGCCCTATCATCCTGCAGACATGTTTATTCACTAGTCCACTCTAGGAGCTCTTGCTTTTCCCTGTGATAGTGGCAATGCACTTGCTGGCCAGGGAACTCCATGAGCCAAGGGGATCCCTGCACATCCTACTGATCGTGTGTGGTGTGTGTTTCCCTTTGTCCTAATTTGACTTTGAATCTGAGACTAATGGGCTTTTGCTGACATGCAGAGCTAGAGAAGTGGAAGAAGAAGCAGAAGCAGAGAGAGAGTGGATGGGCAGCATTATGATGAGATATGGCCTTGACTTCCCTCTGAGGCCAACTGGATTTTGCACCTGTTTCTACCAGCTCTTCCATTTCAGGCACTAGCTCCAAAGGAAGCCAGCAAGACTGATGGACAGAGAGAGGACCAACTGCAAGCTCTGCAGCCGAATCAGGGCCACAGCTCTCCTAGATGTGGAGGAGAGAGATCTTTTAGTGATGACAGGTCCTGGTGCTCCTTAAGAGATAGAGAAAGTCAAAGTTCCAACATGGCCTTCAAAGAAAAGGAATTATGTGAGGACTGGCAGGCTCAAGAGCTGAGCTGTCCTTACCATCTTATCCTGAGCCAGAGAGACCCGGGGAAGAGAGAGGGAAGGAGTTGTTGATTGAAATGTGACTTCACTCCGGTTGGGGAACTGAGGCAAAGATTGAACGGTCTTGGACTCCCAAGAGCAAGGTCTTCCAGCCAGTGCACGCTTGTGCGCTCAAACAGTGGGTTTCCAGTTTGACGAGTTCTGGAAATCACTTGCAGATCACTTTTGCCGGCGTCTCTTCCCATCAAGGAATCCTTTAGCCATGTCTGTTCCCTGGATGCCTTTCCTGGTCTGACTGGTGGGAGGATGGCTGACCTGAGACATAGCTCATTACCCACGGGCCTGGACGGAGCTTTCAGGTAATGGAGGAGATGCTTAGGCTTCTGAGTGGTTCACATATTCCGTGTCCTCCACTTCCCGGCTTGATGGAAAAATCCATCTCAGCCTCACAGTGCTTTGTGTCCAGTGCTCGTGCAGTCTCGCAGCAGGACAAGCACCGCGCAGCTGCATTCTTCTCCAGGGCGCTGGAAATGGAGCCTTTAACTGAAGCCTCGTGTTTCCTCCAGGGAGTTCGCATCTGGCCCTTTGCTATCTCTCTCTCCAGTTCTCTGAATGGACCAGAGCCTGCGTGCTTTCATGATTATGTATTTGAACAGAAACACATTTGTGTCCGAGGGAGTACGAGGCGACAGTGAGAACTGTCTGCCTGGATTTTTGTGGATCTGCCTTTGCTGGGACTGGAGGGGCATGGCAGGGAGTGGGGAGTGGGGGTGCAGGCCTTTCTCGGTGGGCTGCTGTGGTCAGCGCTGCCCTTCCTCTGGGACAGTGGTTGGCCCTGCACATCAAAGACCAGTGTGGATGGGCCTCCAACCACAGCCAGAAGGCCTCTTCTTTTCCTCAGAAGCCCGAGAACAAAGAGAACCTTAATAATTCCGGGAAGTTACTATATAGGAAAATTTTTCAACTCAATAAAAAGAGTATTTAAAATCTACGCTTCTGTTTTGAATTAGACGCATTTATCTTTGCCTAGTCTAAGCCACTAATATTTAAGAAGGTTTGTCAGTAGTGGATACTTAGAGTTTGAAGTTGTCTAGTATGTATACCAGGAGAATAAATGTCATACAATAAGGCCAACTTTGTCCCTCTGATTAGGAAATGCATCAATGTGTAGGGAGGGCAGAGAGCATTTAAGTCCTGGGTAATGGAGACACCATAATCAAGGGAAGAAGTAGATGCTGTATAAATGCTCCTACACTATTTATAAGTAATTTGGGAATAATATAGAATTCTCCTAACATTTGGCTGACCTTGTAGTCAGGATATTTTTTGTTTTGTTTTAACATGCTCATATTTTGAGTGAAGGATAGCGTGCGTTAGAACCGATTCCCAGTTTCAGGAATTTCCCTGGACAGCCTTCACAATGGGAGACCCATGGCCCGCCTCTCTCAGGGCCCTTCATGGCTATTTCGCTGGACATCAGTGGCATGTAGCCGCGTGTCACCGTGCATGTGATTCTCGCTGCCGTGTACATCTCAGCACAATCGAAAACCAGATGGAGCTCGGGGCCCTCTCCCACGCTGCTTTCTCTCCCACTTTCCCACCTCCTCGGATTACCCCATCTTTGTCCAAGGGGCTCCCCTGGTGACCCTCGGCACCGTCAGCTGCACACACACACCGCTCTCCTGCTCCAGCTGGTGGGATGCCAGGCGGGCCTGTGGTCTTCCGCCCTCTCAGACCTTGTTCTGAAGAGAGGAGCTGGTTCTGGTCTGGTTCCCAGATACGTTAGCCTTGGTTTTTAGTAAGACTGGCTTCAGTTCAAATATCCATCTTACAAAATTGGACTTTTCAAATATAGTCGCATACCTCTTATCCCATTTTTTTCTGCTTTACGACTTATGTGTGACTTGAATTCTGTATCTATTCCAGGTTACTTGGTGTTTTACAGAAATCTGTCCCCTGTCTAGCATTGGGTTCCACTCTGCTTAACAAATTTCTTTTTTCTCTTGAACATTCCTGAATATTCTATTAAAGATTTTCATTTGTTACTTTTGGAGCTGCAGTGACCTCCCAAAGCTCGAGTAGAAAGAAGGAAAGCCATTATGGATTGGGTTAACAAAGTCCTCTTTACTGAAATTGCCACCTCTTCATTTGCTCTTATCAAGGCCTTGCTCCCAGGGAACCACTGTTGATCACGCCCATGGCTTTCTCTCTCAGAAGGACCTGCTGAATTGCCAATAAAATCCAAGCACTTTTCGTCCCTTTTATGAATCTCAGACATCTCTTTCTTCCATGACTTTTCGTTAGGTTTAGGTAACCATAGTACCTGACTTATGAAAAGAACTTGGATTTCCCCCGCCTATGCTCTGGAGGACAAGCCGCATAGCATTGGAGATATCTAATCTGTTAAGATATCTGGTAAAATTCCCTTGGGAAACCATTTGGCCCTAGTGTTGTTGTTTTTCTGTCTTCATTTCTTCCATGGAAATGGTTCTGTTCAAGTTCTGTATTTCTACTGGAGTCAATTGTGCTAACACGCATCTTCCTAGGAAATCTCCCAATATATCGAGTTTTAAATTTTATTTTTCATTGATGTGTACAAAGTAATTGCTTGATTTTAAAATGTTCCTCCATATCAATCACAATCCCTTTATCCTTGTCATTTCTTATTTTTATATTTGTGTTGTCTTGATTAGGTCAACGAGTGGTTGTCTTTTGTTAATTCTTTTTCCTCAAAAATTTTTTCAGCATTTTTATTTATTTACTTCTATTCTTTTTCTGTTTCCTACCTCGTGACTTTCTACCTGTATCTTTATTATTTATTTCTTTATGCTTGTTTGTTTTCTTGTTCTTTCTCTAGCTTTTTGAGTGGGAATCCAACTTCTTTATTTAGATTGATTTAAGGAGATAAAACTACCGTTTTCTCTGATCACTGCCATAATCGTCTCCCAAAATTTTGATATATAGTATTTTCATTATTCATTTTTATAAGTTCTGAAATTTATTTCTATTTATTCTTTTACTCAACAGTTGTTTAATAGGGACTTTTTTAATGGAATGCTTTTGGTTTTTATTTTATTGCTAATCTCTAGTTTTATTGCATTGTGACCAGAGAATGCTATTGATATTATTTCCAATATCATCGTATTTCTTTGTCATATAATTGTTGATCAATTTTTGTGACTGTTCCATGTGTACGTGAGAAGACAGTAGAGTCTCTCTAATGTTTTCTATAGGTCCTCTCTGTATATTTACTTTATTCCCATTTGCACCATCTTCCACTGGAAGAGAATTCCTTGCAATTTCTATACTTCCCACTAAATCAGGATTTCACAAACAACAGCCTGCAGACTAGCTGCCTGCTTTTGTAAATAAAGTTTTGGTTGGCATACAAGAATGCTCATTCCTTTTTGTGTGTTTATGATTGTTCTACTGCTACAATGGCAGAGGAAGTAGCTGGGACAGAGTGTATGGCCTGCAAGACTAAATATTTACTCTGTAGCTCTTAAAGAAAAATCTTTGCCATCCCCTGTACTATATCAAGGTACAAACATATTCACATTCATTATATCTCTGATGTGAATTATATCCTTTAAAGTTATAATTTTTTGGCCTGAATTCTACCGTATATGATGTCAAGATTATAACCCCTGCTTTCCTTCTTTCTTTTCCAAGACTGGTATATCTCTTCATTTCTACCTGCTCTGACTTTGTTTTAGATGTGTATCTGATACACAGTATGAGTTTGCTTTGTGGTACAATATGAAAATATTTTTGTTTGAATAGGTGAGCTAAGCACTTTATAAGTGGATCGGTTTGTTACACCTTTCAAGGTAGAACAGCAATAAGCTTTGTATGCATTATTTGAAGGCTTTCGATGGTACTCTTTTTTTGTATAAGTGAAGTTAATCCAAAATGGATCTGTGAGGATACCTTAGATTTTGAGCTTTATACTGGGAACTGTTATGGTGGCTTTTCCTTCTATTGTATGTGATTAAAGAAGCACTGGCTAGACATCTTGTTGTGGCCCCGCAAATGAACTTGAAATGAAAGTGCAACTGAATTACTGCTTAAATTAAGGGTACTTGTTCGTGAAGTTAAAAGGCAGAGTTTATATCTTGGATAAATGAAAATTAAAGCAAACAGGAAGATTTCCAAGAAGAGTAATGAATTTACTGTAGCTTCTTAATTCATTTCATGCATATACCGTTTTAGTACAGCCATTTACTCTGCTGTTGGCCGAGCCTTGTTTAAGAATCTAATGACACAGGATGATTTGAAGCAGTATCTCTCTTTCTTTAGGAATGTTTTGTTCCGTTTGGACTGTGAGAGGATCGTTTCCTTATGTACAGTTTTTAGGACTGGCCATTCTCCTGTCACTTAATCTGGGGGCTCCTTCTCATGGCATACCTGACCTCTGTTGTGCTTTCTCTCGTGCAGGGCAGCCACTGATCACAATGTGGACAACACAACAGAAATCCTCAGGGAGTGGCTGAAGAATGTACAGAGGCTCTATCACTACGTGGAATGGAGGCCCATGGACGAGCCTGAGTGAGTAGCCAGAGGACATTCTGTGAACTCACTATGGACCCTTCCTCCCTTAACCAGTTCTCCAGCCATCCAGGCTTCCAGCCTGGGAGGCGCCTGTGACCTTTCTTTGTTTTTCATCTGCATCTCTAGTAAGTTTCTTCCTTTGGCAGATCTTCATCTTTCTCCCTTCCTCTTTACTCCAGCGGGTCCCAGCCAAGTTCCAGTTCTCATGAGTTCACCAGTAAATCACCATGGTGTTCTATGTGTTAAAATAGTGATAATATTGATTCACATTTTGAGTATAAACCTTTTCTACTTGAGGCATCATAGTGAAAAGTTTGTATACTTTTTATATACACCTTGCTTTTTCACTTACCATATCTTGGTAATCATTCTATAGTTAAGTAGCTTCTTCGTTATCTTTATGACTGCAAAGTACCCATTGTATGGAAATACCATGATTATATAATCAATCTCTTACTGGTGGGCATTTAGGTTATTTCTAATCTTAACCAGACCAATTTCTTAGTTGCTTCCATCTTCAAGTCATTCTACATATCTTGCTATCAAATCAATCTATCTAAAATACTAATGGGTTAGTGTTTCTGTTAAAAAGACTCCAGTGATTCTCACACTTAGCACCCATACCTATGCACCCACATTTCCTGATTCTTCCGCCCAAAAATGCCTGCTTTTCTAGAATGTTCCTTTTATTTTCAACCCAAAGCTTTTGTTGGTGTAGGTTTGTTCTCCTAGAAGACCCCTCTTTCTTTATAACCACTTCTTTTTTTTTTTTAATAGCTGCCTTTTATTTTTTTCTACCGAAAGCTGTTGCCAGTCATTCCAGTTACAGAGCGCTGTCTCTCTCTCTCTCTCTCTCTCTCTCTCTCTCTCTCTCTCTCAACACGTGTGTTGCTTATTTTTTCCATCATTCTTTTTGACACAACCGTATACTTCACGAACATAAACTATATAACCTATGCATTTTTCCAAGTTTATGAGTTCTTTGTCGGGGGCTAAAGTACACAAATTATATTTCCCCCAATGCAGTTTTTGGCAGGCACAAAATTAATACTTGTTGAACAAATGAGTGAATGAGTAAATATATTACTGTTGTACATATTCCCAAGGCTACTACAATTCCAGCTTACGGAACTGTATAAGTAGAATGAATTGAGTTGCCTGAATTTTTGCCCAGGGTAAGTCATTTATTGAAAGCCAAATTTGTATGCTAAGTGCCATCCCAGAACAATTTTTTGTCCTTCTAGTCTCTCTGTATATAATTCTTTTATTATATGTGTACGCATGTATACACATATCTCAAATCCCAGCTTGTGATCCATATATCAAGCAACATTTAACTACAAAATTTGAACACTATCAACATTTTTGAACACCCTTTTGGAGTCCCTTATAATAGAATTTGGCATCATTAGAATGGCCCTGAAAGACTTTATGTTCCTACCTTGCCTCCTGGTAATTTTCTCTATAGCCAGTTTTTGACTAAATATGTTGTATGCCAAGGTCAGTGTGAAAAATATTAGGAGAGGCATTTGGGAGGGGGGTGATATATTCAGCAAAACAGGAACTGCACTGCTTTTCCTTGAAGCAATAATACGGGAAGGCATCCCAGAGAATTCCTGTGCAGTACATAGTTTTTATTCATCCTATTTGTATAGTTTTTGCGGTTTTTCATTCTCCAAGGCTCGTGTACTACCAGCACAGCTCTAAGAACTTGAAGTGGTAGCCAGTTTGGGCCACTATGGCAATGTCAATGCCCATGCCAATTAGGAGTTTTCAGAAGGGTTCTCGAGGGCACAGCACCCATCGGCCTATGTGGCCATGCGAGAGCCTGGGGCCGGCCTTTCTGAGGATGCCAATGGAGATCCCAAGGACTATGCATTGCTCCATGACCTCCCTTCACCCGGGATACAGCCATGTGTTCGCTTCTGTGGCATCCTTTCCTGAGACTTGCCCAAGTAAATTAAACCTTTCTTTCCCCTGGGAAACTCACATTTTTATGCTACAAATTTCCAAATGTACCTGATGGCAAAATGTATTTTAAGAAGTATCTAGGAACATGAGCTTTGGGGTTATGCCTGGGTTTAAATCCTGACTGTGCCCTTTATTAACTACATAGCATTAAGCAAATGGCTCAAACTGCTCTACACCAATTTCCTCATCCGTGAAATGGGGAGACTAGTAATACAGTTCATGGATCCCATATCTGCAATTCAACTAATGGTGTATCGAAAGTATCCAGAAAAAAAGTATTACTTTTTGCTGGTGTGTGTACAGTGTAGTTAGGCCTACAATGCATCTATACTGATCATGTACAGACTTTTTCTAGTCATTATTCCCTAAACAATAAAGGATAACAACTATTTACATAGCATTTATATTGTTCTGTGTATTCAAAATAATCGTTAGAGATCATTTAAAATATACGGGAAAATGTGTGCAGGTTATATGCAAATGCTTCACCATTTTATAGAAGGGACTTGAGCATCCACAGATGTTGGTAATCACGGGGGTCCTGAAACCAATACCTCTCAGATAATCAGAGACAATTCTACTTACCTAGTAGGGACTCGGTGGGTTCCCTTTAGAACCCACTGAACTATTTCACATAAAGATTCTTGTGTATGGTAAGCAGAAGTCCTTGCTCTCTCCTTGCTCCAGTTTCTCTGTGTGTATGTGGAGATGATACTAACAAGAATAGTATCTACTTCAAGCGAGGGTGAGTGGAAGATTCAATGAGTTTCTACATAGTGCCTGGAATATATAGGCACTCAGTAATTAAAGCTACTACTACTATTATTTATTATTATTTTAGGTCTTATCCTGATGAAATTGGTCCAAAGCACTGGCCGGCCTCCCGGTTTGCCCACGTGATGAAGCTACGGCAGGCAGCCCTTCGAACTGCGAGGGAAAAATGGTCAGACTACATTCTGGTAAAATCAGATGTTTGATTTCTTGACAACTGTTATCTAGAATATGTCCAGATCAGTTGTCCGAAAACTAGGACTGTGGGATCAAGTAAAACAATCTTATGTTTAGGCCCTACCTTCTCCACTTTTTAATAAAGGCACGGAGGAAATGTTGGGAATTTAATATTGAGATACCCGGATTTCATCTCAGACCCACTTCGGACATGCATTTTCAGTAAGCAAACGAGCTCTTGAAATATTCACTCTCTTTCATAGAACAGGCATAAAAATCCAAATCTTTGTAGCTCATGGGAGATGCTGTAGGTAAAATAATATAGTCTTAATAACTTTTCAGAGGAATTAAATCAATTGTATAAAAAGAGATTCAAATGAACAGCTCTGAAACGCCGTTCCATTTTGCTCCTGAATGACCTGGGGAAATGGCACCTCTTTCTTGGCTTCCTAGTTGCTCCCCATGATGCTGGGCTCTGGTGGTGAATTTCCATCACTTCCGTTAGAGGTTCCATCACTTCCGTTAGAACTGTGAGGTGGTCCAGAACGTGCTGGACTTGATGATCAGGAGTCAATATTTTGTTCCATCCTCGTCCTCCATTTACCTCTCTCCACTGGAAAGGACGTCTTCTTAAGCAGCTAGTTCCCATTTCCCTTTTGAATATTGTGGGTTGGGTCTTGGTTGCGTGTGTCCCCAGCGTGGTAACACCAATTCATTGCCTGGTGCCTTTTGCGGAGCTGAACATGTAGAAGTTAGACTAAGTGTGTTTAGTCTGAATGAAAGCCATCCTGTTGCAATGAGCTCCCACAAGGAGAACATAGATAACTGGTACCACATCTCATGAGCCAGCCTCTGTGATCCCTGGAGGTGTTGGGTTACTCCTGAACCCATGACGACAAGTATCTTTTCACCTGACTTTATCTTTTTCTTTTCCTAGTTCATAGATGTTGACAACTTCCTGACTAATCCACAGACCCTCAATCTACTGATTGCCGAAAACAAAACCATCGTGGCCCCCATGCTGGAGTCCCGGGGCCTGTACTCCAATTTCTGGTGCGGAATCACACCTCAGGCAAGTCTGTGGCTAATGAGTGAAAGCTATGAGTTTTAACAAGGCGGCTCCGAGTCACCAGTTGCCCTATTAACCTTTTTCTCATTTCCTCCTTTGAAAGATGCATGCCATTTCAGAGCAAGCATTTTCAGGAAAGGAGATATGTCCAGGTCCAATGCCACCACCCAGTGAGTGCTTCTGAATTAATGAATTATGAAGAAAACATTCTAGTGACTTTAGCATTAGAAGCTTAAATGAATCAATAAAGCTTGCTGGCATTTGTACTTTTTTTCTTTCTGACTCAGAGATTTTTTTAAAAATTTAATAGGTGGTGTGTTTGTTTTTTTTGTTTTGTTTTTTTTTTGTTTTTTGGTCATTAACACTATCATAAGAATACTATAGAAAAATTTAAAGATGAAAAAAGATAAAAATATCAGGTTAATCCCCACCACTCTAACATCATAGATAACAGTTTGCATTTCCTTAATAACTATATCAAGTGGCTATAGTGCAACTTAACCTTTCTCTTAGTTTAAAAACATTTAAGTTGTTTGCAACTTTTAACTATAAGGACCGTCATGATTAATATAATTTTTTTGTATTTAATATTATTTCTTTAGGATAGCTTCTTAGAAGTGGAATTACTTAGTCAAAGAGTATAAATATTTTTATGACCTTTGATATATGTTGCCAAATTTATTTCTAAAGAGATCCAATAATTAGAACTGCTATGGTAGCTTGTTTTTACAAAATTCATGTTAAAATTGGAATTCTTTTTACAAAATTCATGTTAAAATTGGAATTCTTTTATTTCCATCACCTCTCTTTTCCACTGTAAAATCTTTAAAGTCTAGAGATCTGTTACAGTGAATGCTTATGGCTGGTTGTAGTTTTACTCTTTAGTTAATAAATGCGAGAGATAAACTGATCAATGTCGTATATATCAATATAGAATAAAGATGTGCTTAAGGAAAATATATATATATGTTAAATGTGGTCTCAGACCCAAGGGGCTACAATTGTGCGTCCCTCTTTTATATTTTGTTTGGTTTGGGGCCAAATGATAAATGTCTAATAATTGGCTCTCTGTGGGAGGAAAATCCTGATTGGTAACATTTGCCAGTTTTCATGGTGTAAGTTACTCCCACCATGCAGACTACTTAAATGTTGTTTAAGCTAAGGGAAAGGTTAAGTAAATTGCAGTGTAGCTACTTGATGAGATAATTATTAAAAATATGCATAGCTGACATCTGTGGTTCTGTTAGATGGTGGCATTAACTTGATTTTTATTTTTACAGCTGTCAACATGTCAACTGGCTTGCACAGTTCCTGAAAACATAGCAGTCAGTGGTTCTAACACACTACTGGACGAGGCATTTCTCTTTCGCTACAGTATTTCCCGCAGTCCCAAGAGGTTTCAGATGCATGTTATTAGCCACATCTCTTCTAGGGAAGCATTAAGTTCATATTTGTACAAGTCATTCAGTTCTTGGTCTGGAACGTTATTTAGGTGCATTTGAATTCGCACACTCTTAGTTAATGATCTGCAGTGTCTCGCGTGGCAGAATCACTCGGTTGTTTTTAATGAGTTATGCTGTGACATCAGCCATAAGGGTGGATTATTCTAGGGACTGGAGCCTCCAGGTTTCAATTATCTTCTTGTTTGCTTTCATCATGAAAAGCAAATAGGAGAAATTGCTCACTTATTTTGCACAATAAGAGTAAAAAACCTGGCCCCGGCTAGTGTGACTCAGTTGGAGCATCATCCTGTACACCAGAATGGTTTCGGGTTCGATTTCCAATCAGGGCACATACCTAGGTTATGGGTTGGATCCCCTGGTCAGAGTACATGTGGGAGGCAACCAATCGATGTTTCTCACACTGATGTTTCCCTCCCTCCCTCCCGCTTTAAAATCAATAACCATATTCTCAGGTGAGGATTTTTTTGTAAGTAAAAATTTGAACACTTTAGGGGCAATTCTAATTTTTACCCCTCTACCCTTGGCTGCCATCCCCAGTCAGGCTTCTGCTGGGGCAGTCAGTGACGTCATATGCTTCAGGCAGGCCCTGGTCTCCAGAGCATCCAAAACAAAGCGGCCCTAGTGTTGCTGTCTGGCCAGTGAACAAGAATTATTACCAACAGCATTCAACTTATGTGGGGACAAAAGATACAGTTTTCACCTCTGCCTGTCTGCAGGAGGCATGTTAACTCCCTCTCTCTGCTCCCTTCCTCCCTGCCGCCTGGATATTCAGTGATTCATCATCATCATGACATTTCCAATCTTCTCATTCTGAGAATATTGTGCCTAAGTTGTCCAGAACTTTATATTTGACATGCGTTCTTAAAGACCAGCCTTCCCTTTATCCCTTGGGAAAAATGTTTTCAAGTTGAAGTATTAGGAGAACCCATGTTCTAACTTAAGGATATTAAGTGATCCTTCATTTAAAAGCTAATAAAAAATTTTACTACTAATAATACTCCCTATAATGAACCACAGTTTTCAAAGTATCTTCATAGACCTTAGTGCTTGTGATCCATTCTACGCCGTGTGAGAAGAAACTCAAAGAGATCAAACATGGGCTGAGATCAAACAGCTGGAAGATGGTTCAAGTAACTCTAAGCCTCACATCCTCTAAGTTTCAATTTGCATGGCTTCAACCTTGCCACGTGGTCAGGGTTAGGGTTAGCTCAGCTGGAACACTCATCTAGACACTAAAGCAGCGGTTCTCAACCTGTGGGTCGCGAGCAATGAAAATACATCCTGCATATCAGATATTTACATTACGATTCATAACAGTAGCAAAATTACAGTTATGAAGTAGCAACGAAAATAATTTTATGGTTGGGGGTCACCACAACATGAGGAACTGTATTAAAGGGTCGCGGCATTAGGAAGGTTGAGAACCACTGCAAGGGATTGCCCGAGGCGTGAAAGAGGCTGCAATGCCTTGTGTGTGGGCCCTGACATCACAACAGAAAATGTGACCACAAAGTCAAGGGATTGGTTGCCCTGTGTGCTTGCCCACAAGGAACTTTCCAAAGGGGAATTCTTTTGAGCAGTGACAGCTCACCAGAATATTGAATAAATAACTTCATAGAAAGAAGACCCTATTTCTATGTCTCAGTACTGCATGTTGAGTTAAAAATATTAACCAATGTAATGTAGCCATTTTAATAATAGCCAATGATGCTTTCTCAGTGCCAACACTATTATAAGCACTCTGAATTGTTAAGGCATCCATCCCCATGGAGTGGAAAGGGCCGTCACTTCTGTTTTACAGATGAGGAACTAGGTTGAGTACTCTGACCAATACCTGCAGACAATAAGTAGCAGAGGTGGGAGTTGAACTCAGGCCGGCAGACACCTTCATTGCTTGGCTTTGCCACCTCTTCATACTCATGCTTCAATCATAAGTCAACATAAAATGTACTTCTATGAAATTATTAAATCAAGAGATAGGCTGAAACCAAAATTATTTCTGATAACAGGACCCTTTTAGTATTACTTAATCTGTAAATAGTTCTTGAGCTCAATCCTAATTCTTAGGCCAAGATAAAAAGAGTGAAGGTGACTTTGCTTGGGGACTTCTAACTGGTGCTGACTTAGAAGGAATCGGCTGGCAGATGACCATGAAAGATGAAGTCTCAGACGAGAGAACACAGCCTCCCTGCTTGCTCTTTTGCAGGGCTTCTATAAACGGACCCCGGACTACCTTCAGATCAGAGAATGGAAGAGGATGGGCTGCTTTCCCGTCCCCATGGTCCACTCCACACTCCTGATTGACCTCAGGAAGGAAGCCTCTGACAAGCTCATGTTCTATCCCCCGCACCAGGACTACACCTGGACCTTCGATGACATCATCGTCTTCGCCTTCTCCAGCAGGCAAGCAGGTACTGTTGGTATTGGGTGGCACCGCCCCCAGGGAAACACTGCAAATAACCAGCCTCTTTGTTTTGTGTCTAAGGAAATGGGCTTCTGCAGGTAGTGTTAGAGGCAATTGATTGCTGCAGTTCTCACCCCAGCACCCTCTGTGTTGCTGTCCCTGTGAGCACCAATGACCAAGAGCCCTTACCCAGAATCCACTCTTGTTACTGAGCAGTGGGAGGAGGGTGGTGGTGGTGGTGGTAGCCAGGGGCAATTATTGGTTCTCTGTGGTGCTACTGCATTGCTTTGTCCATTGTAGGAGCCCTTTTATTAATCAGAAACTGTGACAGAGACCAAAACAACACTGGAAAAAAATAAATAAACCCAGACTTTAAAAATGGAAGATTATTTCTTCTTTAAAAAGTCTGAGCTGGTGCAGTTGCTCTAATCTACACATTTTCAGGGACCCAGGATCCTTCTCCATTGCTTCTCCACCCTCCATGAGGCATCATCCTTAATTGTATGATCCAAGATGTCTCATTACTAGGGATGCGTTCCAGCCATTGAGTGAAAACCAGAGAGGGACGGCAGTGTCTTCCCCCTGAAGGGTATTCATGAAAGTTGAACACGTCGCTTCCATGCATAACCCATTAACCAGCACTTACACAGGACAACACCTAGGGGGCTCAGAATGTTGTCTGTGCAGTCAAGAGCCCCATTCTCCTGCTCTAGAAGAAGGAGAGAGGAGATTTGGGGTGTCAACCACAGTCCCCATCGAAGGTCAGGCAAAGCCAGACTTAAGTCTTTCATGAACCACTAGGAAAGCATTTCCAGAGGCGAGTGTAAGTCTTTTAAAGAAGACAAGTCAGTAGGAATGAAAGTTATTTCTCTTGTGTCACCTGCACATGCCGTCAGGGAGGACATAATTCACCAAAGCAGTTCAACAGGAAGATACCCACGTTCCTAAAGCAAAGTTTTATTCTCAGGAAGGAAGCCAGGTCCCATTATCAATGAGCCAGAAATGTGTCGCTTAGCCACTAGCCAAAGTGAGTTTAGAAACTAGATGGATGGTGAATAAACTCGACCGTGTGGTAGACTTGATAGGAATGAGAATATTTGGTGGGAATGTGGAAGGCTGGTTTTTTCCCCCTTGGCTGACAAGGCCATTGGGACTCCTTGGCCAGATGCAGGCATGTTTAGGCCTGTGTCAAGGCAAAAGCAAGGTTCTTGTTCTCCTGTGGGTTGGACGTTTTCCTGAAGGTTCTATGTCAATATTAATGAAATTGCTTCTTTCCTCCTGGTCTGTGATTGGCTCTGACCTCCCCAGGATGAGAAGCAGACGCAGGGCCTTCTCATTCCTTCTATTTGTGCCAGGCCCTTTGCTTCAGAGCTAGAAGGAAGCACGTTCCAAGAAAGTGAACTGTGAACAGTTACAGTAACGATCCTCGCCTAACAGAGTCCCCCTTTACAGCATTGCACAAGGCATTATGGTGACCCAGGCGCTAAATTATGATGATAATTCTTTTAAACCAAGAACTGGATTTGTGGCTAGGAGAGCGACACAGGCTGGGAAGGAATTTGTCAGCTCTGCCCTTCACTTGTCCTATTCACTCGGCCTTCATTCATTATTGGCCAGACTTCCCAAGGGTCCTCCCGGGACACTGAAAGCAGGTGCAGAGGCCCAAAGCTGCTTGGTGATTCCTCTCTTTGGGGAGACGAGAGGGAGAAAAGGAAGGTGAGGGGATCAGGGCTCTAGGCCTTCCTCTTGTGCCTACCATCGTGTTAGTCTCTGTGTTTGGGGAGATAAGACCTTTACATGTGGAAACGTAAATATAGTTATGAAACAGTGAAAGCTGAGGGTCAGATGGGTGGTACAAACTGTGAACAGGCCAGGAGACAAGACAGAAAGAATGACTGCATTTGGAGGAATGGAAAGGCTTCCCAGATGGTGGCGTGGTCCTAAGGTAGCCCTTTCACTTTCTTGAAGTATTTTCAGGAGAGACGTGAATGCAGCCATCGAGTATTTCTGGGCTCTTCCATTCTTAGATCCAAAGCAAAGCACTTCCCTTCCCCCCTGAAAGAGTCTTGATGAAGGATGATATGATTCTTTTGTTCTCACTCTTGTGAAGCTCCCTGGCTGTGCTTCATCCATTGGAGCATCATTTTTTAACTGTCGAGAAGGAAATAAAGGGTCTGTGTGTCCCAGTTAGGACCATCTAGCCACAAACCTTGATCCTTACTCTTTAAGCTTGGACTTCAGGCATCACCACATTTGGGTGATGAGTGAAAGGGTCAGACCAAGTGCGCCTGGGCACTGGGGTGTGGCTGCCCATCTAGCCCAAGAAGAGAGCACAGGGATCATAGGCAAGTCTCTGTGGCTGTAATGAGGGCAGGGTCAGGAGTTCACTTCCCATTGTGGCCAGTGATCTGGGTTTGTATCGTGGCCACGGGAACCATCTTTGGCGCCAGCCCGTCATCTTTCAGTGTCAAAAGAGGCAAGATGTGGGTGATCTGCCTCCTGCACATCACTGGTAGTGACCAAAAGTGCCCCCATGTGCAGGGATGGCAATCCTGTGTGGTTACTGCTTCTGAGGCTCGGCTTCCAAATTCTGGGTGGATAAAGAGGCTCCGCATTGGCCTTTAGGGACAGAGGTTTGGCACTAATGACTTACTGTATGACCTTGGGCCAATCATAACCTCTCTGAATTTTCATCAGAATAAAGATAAGTATATCAATTTACAATATTAATATACTATGTGAGTATAAGAAAATGATGGATATCTTCATAAGGTAAGTAGGTACAGTCCTTTAAGATGCAGTATCAAAGAGAATTTTGTTTTCCCAGAAGCAGTGTTCACTGAGAGTACCAGATTCCTTCATAGACTTTATCTAGTTATCAACACATTTCCTTTTGAAATTTAACCCTTAATTGTCTAAAACTCATGTTAGAATGGTGACATTTTTTTCCATTGCTAAGTACGTCTGCATTCATTTCTTTCTTTCTTTCTTTCTCTCTCTCTCTCTCTCTCTCTCTCTCTCTCTCTCTCTCTCTCTTTCTTCCTTCCTTCCTTCCTTCCTTCCTTCCTTCCTTCCTTTCTTTTTACAGTTTACATTCAACATTATTTAGTTTTGGGTGCCAAGTGTTCCTCCTGATATTTCCAGTACCCAACCGGCAGCATACATAGTTATTACAATATTATTGACTATATTCCCTATGCTAATATTATTGACTATATTCCCTATGCCGAGCTTTACATCCCTGCGACTGTTTTGTAACTACCAATTTGTTCTTCTTAATCCCTTCACCTTTTTCACCCAGTCCCCCAAACCCCCTCTACTCTGGCAAACATCAGTCTGTTCCCTGTGTCTATAAGTCTGTTTCTATTTTGTTTATTTATTTTGTTCTTTAAATTCCACATATAAGTGAGATCATATGGCATTTGTCTTTCTCTGACTGACTTATTTCACTTAGCATAATACCTTCTAGGTCCATCCATAGTGTTGCAAATGGTAAGATTTCATTCTTTTTCAGGGCTGAGTAATATTCCATTGTATACATCTACCACAGCTTTTTTATCCACTTGTCTATTGATGGACACTTGGGCTGTTTCCATAGCTTGGCTATTGTAAATAACACTGCAGTAAACATAGGGATGAGATTATTATTTTGAATTAGTGTCTTAGGTTTCTAGAATGGTCCGATTTATCTGCTGTTCTTATTGGTGACGATGCCTGGCCTGGAGCCTCTGATACACTCTAATCTGCGTGGTGCCACAGCTGTCACCCTAGGACCCTCTTCTCTTCCCTTCTTCATTGACTTCCTCTTTACTGTGTCCCATCTTCCTTATTATTTGTAACCCTCCTCCACTTCTCTTCCTCCCCCGCCCCGCCCCTCCTCTTCCTTCTCCTTCTTCTTCCACATCATCCAGTAACTTGGTGAGACCGTGTGATGGAAAGTAAACATTTATGACCTTGCATGTTTGAACATGCCTCGCTTGTTTCCTCACTTAATGGATAGCTCAGTTAGGTCTCCTGTCCTCTTTTTACTGAAGCTTTGGAAAGTTGAATGGCAACTTTGGAAAGTTGAAGGGTTGAGAGGCAACCTAAACCTGAAATCACTTTTCTTCTCCTTTCTGAATTCATCATGACTTGCAAGAGGGTAGCTTTGGGTTTGAAGTTCCCCAGAAGCCTTCGTGCGGGCGCACAGCAGAGCTAATGACTTCACTCGGTGAAGGCAAGAGAAGTGACAGTGATTGGTGGACCAACCCTGATTCAGCCAGAGTCAGCAAAGGAGAGGATAGAAGCTCTTTTCTTCCCTGTTCTTTTCAGTTAATGCCGTGAGACAGCTGATTTGGCAGGTGATCCAGCTGACTGGAGGAAATCTCATCTGCACAAAATAGAGAAGGCTCTGTGCAGGTAGTTCTCTCTCTGGAAAACATAGATGATTCTAGCAATTAACAAGTCAGAAGCTTGGACACATGGACCAGAGCTTGGCAGACTCATTCTTTTAATGAAGCAATCTTCTCATTAGTCAAAACTGTGTCTGCTGCTGGGTCCCTAGGAGACCATCTTGATCCGTACCTTCCTAGCTATCTGGTTGAACACAGATGCTGTGTAATATAACTCTCAGAACTAGCCAGCTGGGGCTATAAGACCAGTGTTGAATACGAGAGGGCTGTGGCATATTTCTGGCAGGTTCTTCACAGGCCTTGAGATGCAGACTTTCTTTTGTTCCTTTATGAGTTTGTTCTAGAAGTTTCATGTCCATTGGTTGACACCAAATCCAGGAAACTTGCTCTCAGGGAGCTTGCTCAGAGAAGAAATAAAACTAAAGAGAGTCATGGAGAATTTAAATTTCCTTGCTTTTTATTTTTTGTTCTACATGTGCCTAGATTTAGCTCTCGTAATCTGTCAGCCTTACAGGATTTTCCTGTTTGCTTTCATATCAAATATGGATTTTATTCCTCAGTCTCTCGTTATTTCCTGTTGGTGGATTGCAGTGTTCTATTCTGTTCTCTGGAACGGGAATTCCTTGCCTCCTTTTTGATCTCTTCATGCCTCTAGTGTTCATTTCAGACCACAACTATGCTTGTTCTTTAGAGAGAAAAAATCAATTTCCTCTGAGCTGAAGAATGGCCCAGGCTTTTTATTAGACCCCAATGCTGTGTTATAGTTTCTTAATAAAGGAGCATTTTTGAGGTCTGCAGACAGTGCCTGAAACAGCTACTTGTTCAATATCAGAGCCAAACCCAGCACCAGCCACAGTCCGGCCTCCTTTTCCATAGTTATCACTACAGAACTAACAAGTGTTGTTTTCTGATTGGTCGGCTTTGTCCCTCTCTTGGGTCCTCAGGCATCCAGATGTACCTCTGCAACAGAGAGCACTACGGCTACCTGCCCATCCCCCTGAAGCCCCATCAGACCCTGCAGGACGACGTCGAAACCCTCATCCATGTGCAGATAGAAGCAATGAGTGAGTGACCCAAGAGCCTGCGATGGCTCGTGTTCCACTGCCACCGTGACCACCAGACACACCTCCCCTGCCCCAGGACCGGAGTCTCACAGCCATCAGTCTGCCTTGGCTGAAACATGGCTATTCATCTGCTCCTTTGTTCTTAAACTTTCCCTAACGTGAAATGTGAACATGACAAAGTCTTTTCCCTCAGGGAGCATCCATCCAGATGGACAGCTGGGTACACAGTAAATGCATTTCACACAATGTCATCAGGGCTATCATGGAGCTTTGTCTTGGGATTTAAACTCTAACGTGGCTGCTTTCTAATTATATGACTTTGGGCAAGTAATCTAACTTGTTTAGTGGTACAATGGAGATGATGAAAAGTTGTAGACTTTGGGGGAAGATGTTCAATGATATATATAAAAAGTCTAATAACTACAACAATAATTATGACTTCATCTTACTAATAGTTTATGATGTATCAGATACCATACTAAGCATTTTTTAAAATGTATTTTAATTGATTTCAGAGAGGAAGGGAGAGGGAGAGAGAGATAGAAACATCAACGATGAGAGAGAATCATTGATTGGCTACCTCCTGCACACCCCCTACTGGGGATCAAGCCTGCAACCCAGGCATGTGCCCTTGACCGGAATCAAACCTGGGACTCTTCGGTCTGCAGGCCGATGCTCTATCCACTAAGTCAAACCAGCTAAGGCTGCTTTATACATTGTCTAATTAATCCTTACAACAGAGCAGTGAAAGGGGTTTATTATCTCCATATTAAAGATGAAAAAATTGAGGCATAGAGAGTTTAAGTAACTTGCCCCAGATCATCCTGCTAAGGCAATGACAGATTGGGTTTTGAACCAATTTTGTTGTCTCCAAAACGTGTGTCCTTACACACTGTGTTGTTATTGCCTCCAGGTCTACATGATGTCAGGATTGGTAGAGGCTCAATAATCAGTAGCTACACTCATTATTATGTATAATGTACAGGTGGCTGAGGAGAAAGCTACAGATCCACCCTGCCTAGGGAAGGATGTTGGACATGGCTTCCCAAAGGAGGGCATATTTGCACTGAATTGTCGCAAAGGATCTAAGGAATTCAGTTGTTCATCACTAGAGCACAGAATGTGTGCATGTGGGCAGTGGGCAGGACGTGAGCCCAGTCAGAACGACTTCTAATGTATAAGAAAGGTCACTCGGACTATGGTATGGACACTACAGTATAGGGCAGTGATGGTGAACCTATGACATGCATGTCAGAGGTGACACGCGAACTCATTTTTTTGGTTGATTTTTCTTTGTTAAATGGCATTTAAATATATAAAATAAATATCAAAAATATAAGTCTTTGTTTTACTATGGTTGCAAATACCAAAAAATTTCTATATGTGACACGGCACCAGAGTTAAGTTAGGGTTTTTCAAAATGCTGACACGCCGAGCTCAAAAGGTTCGCCATCACTGGTATAGGGGGTCCAGTATATCTCTCTTGGTGAGGGAAGATGGTGTTTGGGATGTAAGCTGTAGCAGGGAGGAGATGAAAAGCAAGCGGATTTAGGATATGTTTTGGTGGTGGAGCCAATAGGACTTACAGAGACCTGGATGCAGCCTGTGAGGAAAGAAAGGAATCAAGGATGGCTCCAGGATTTTGGCCTGGTTTACCAGTTAATGAAGTGGGAAAGGCTTCATGGGAAAAGATTTGGGAGAGAAGTTTTGGTGATGTAAGTTTAAGATATTTATTGAACATCTGAATGGAAAGATTAGGAGATACTTGGCTCTATGAATCTGGAGTTCAGGAAGAGACTCCAGCTGGAGACAGACATTTGAGGTCATTCGAATTAAAAAGGATATTTGAAGCCATGGAACAGAGTGAACTTGTTTAGTAACAGAACATCGAAAGAGAAGAGGAGAGGGAGGAGGACAGATCCCTGGGGGAGACGAACAGCCAGAAAGCTGGAAGGAAAAAATGAGAACTGTTCAAGAAGGAGCCAGATGCTGCTGAGAAGTCAAGTAAAGTGAGGATAGAGAATTGATCATTTGTTCTGTCGAGATAGAGATCTGTGGTGACCTTGGTAAGAGCCACTTCAGTGAAATGATGGGGACACAAGCCCATTGGAGTGGGCTGAAGAGAGAACAATGGGGAGATGAGAGAATGGGATCTTGCTGGGATGGAGAATTAGAGGAATAGGATGGTGACTGGAAGGCAGTGAGAGATCAAGGCAGAGGTTGTTATGTTTTGTGTGTTATTTTTTAAGATAGGATTTTAGCATATTTGTGTGCTGAGAAGGAGAACTTGATGGTGTAGAAGAGAGGAAGATGACTGTTAAGGCTGAAGACCTTGAGAAAACAGAAGGCGTTGTAAGCCAGGGCAACATTGGAGGGGTTGTCCTAGATAGGAATAGGGATGCTTCTCCCATGGTAGCCAATGGGTAGAAGTCAGAACGTGTGGGTACAGATGCTTCTGAGTTTGTAAACTTGAGGTCAAAGGAAAAGGCAGGACTAATTTGACTTTGAATATTTTCTCTATGACATATGTAGTCCAATCAACAGCTTGAGAGAGATGTTGGAGATTTCAGAAGAAAGAAAAAGGCACAAAATATATCTTTCAGAGAACAGAAAGTAAATTTACTATGGAAGTATATAGTTGCATATTTGGCAGTGTTGAGTGCCAATTTGACATCTGTGGTTATAGTTTTGAAATGACTCAGTCAGAACAACTGTGTGAATTTCTCTTGCGCTATTTCTCTTGGTGCTGTGTAAATGGACAATTGAATTTAACCAAGATTGGGGTTTTGCTAAACAAGATCAATGGAAGAGATTTAAGAGTGCTTACTAGGAATGGTTAGAGTACTGGACCATGAGGTCTGGGTTGGGTACTGATGGAAGCAAGGGCATGAAGGGCATGATGGGTGCAGGCATGGTAGTGGGTCACTGAAGGAATGCTTGTTGGTACTAAGGTCTAGGACCTGGGAGTCACTAGGCTGTTAGACAGATCCACATGGATGCTGAGGTTTCTAAGAATGATAACAGTGAGACCATGAGCCAGAAGCCATAGTCATCAGTGGCTGAAGGGGCCTGATGAGGAGGTAGGTGGTATGAAAATAAGCATGAAAGAGGCTGGGAGTTTTGAAGGATGGAGGATGAACAGTTTGGAATGAGTGGTGGTGGCAGCTGCACAGAAATTTGGGGATGTGCTTCCTGTACAGCAAATTTGGGGGTGAATTGTAGGAAGCTAGAGCTTATGAAAGTGTTAGAAGTAAATAGGTATGAGGTATGAGAAGTTTGCTCTTGCAAATCAGAGCATGAGACAATGGAAATCTTAGGTGCCCATTTTCAGCAATGACATTTTGAGGCAACAGAATGTCATGTCGATTATTAAGAATATTGGATCTGCCCTGGCCAGTGTGGCTCAGTTGGTTGGGCATCATCCCGTGCAACAGAAGGTTGCTGGTTCAATTCCTAGTCAGAGCACATGCCCAGATTGCGGACTTGATCCCAGTTGAGGGGTGCAGCGGGGGAGCTGATCAATGTTTCGCTCTCACATCGATGTTTCTCTCCTTCTTTCCCTCTCCCTTCTTCTCTCTCTAAAAATCAATAAAAATATTAAAAAGAATATTGGATCTGAAGTCATAAGGTCTAAAACTGAGTTCTAGCTCCTCCCATCACTATTTGACCTTGAGCAAGTAGCAAGTCTATATCTAAGGTTGGTCTTGAAATTCTTCCATCCTCCACAAAAAACCACCAATAAAAAAGAAA